CGCGAGATTCGGCCCTTAAAGCTATCAAAAGATACTTGACAAAGAGCCTAGATGAAACATTCATGCTCGACATAGATGGCGTCGAGAGTTATTTAGGGTTATTGAGTGAGCAATGGAACCGGTTCAACACCGCTCAAGATGCCGTGGAAAATTCGTGTGGAAGTGAAAACGCCGATGTGGAGGATAATGTTCGCGAACAGGCCGAATCTTGGTATGCCACGGCTCTGGCAAATTTTAGGCGTGTGCAGAAATGTAAAGTTTATCCTTCATCGCAACCCATAACCGCTTCACCCATTGTTTCTGCATCCATACGTCTGCCCAAAATTGATCTTCCAACGTTCACTGGCGATTCCACTGAATGGACTGCCTTCTATGACTCCTTCCGTTCATTAGTTGATGGCAATGCTGCCTTGTCAGGGGGGCAGAAGTTGCATTATCTGCGTAGCTGTTTGAAGGGGGGTATAATAAGTGGATTCCAGATCAGTGACGCCAACTACGATGAGGCTTGGAATCTACTTAAATCGCGTTACAAAGTTATGCGCGTTATCGTAGAGGCACACCTTAGGGCAATCGCGGAGGTTAAAAGGGTCACAGACGACACCGCTGATGCTATAAGGAGAGTTTTGAATGCATTTCAACAGCACATACGGGAGCTCAAAGCACTAGGGCGTCCTGTCGATTTTTGGGACGATTGGCTGGTTCACGAGATCGTTTCCAGACTAGCGTTTGAGACCAGGAAGCAGTGGGAGCTGTCATTATTAAGCGACGAACCACCAACCTTTGAACAGCTGACTGAATTTTTGGAGGTAAGGTGCCGTTCTTTGGAGATGCTCATCACGCCAGCAAATCAAGTAGCAGAAAAACCGACTGTGTCAAAGGCGTTTGGAAAGTCAACTAAAGTTTTTCACGCTATCTCGGAACAGCCAGACACGCGTTGTATGTACTGCGATGAATCCCATAAAATTTATGCTTGCGAGAAATTCCGTGACCTAGATCGCAAAGCAAAGTCGAGATTCATTCAAGAAAGCAAAGCTTGCTTTAACTGTTTGAGTCCAGGACACTACAAGGATCGCTGCAATAGTGGCTCCGCATGCCGTATATGCAACCAACGACATCATACGCTGCTCCATGGTGTGGGAACATCAACCGCTACATCCGCCCATTTTGTCGCCGAGGCTAACCGCACCGTTCCGGATACGTCATCCACAACCATCCCCATAAACGCGTCTGCTAGCACCAGTTCGCCGACGAATGCCAATGCTGTCTCATCATACTTGAGCTCTGAAGAAACCCCGCTTCCTCTAACGCAACAAACTGTGTTATTGTCCACCGCCTCTGTAAAGGTTCGCGATTGCGCCGACCGATGGCAGACGGCGCGCTTATTATTTGATTCTGGTTCACATGCCACATTCGTCACTGAGGCATGTGTACAACGCTTGGGTCTACCCCGTAAATCGTCTTCGGTAATTGTCACCGGAATAGGTTCATCGCAGGGAGGCCACTGTAAGGGTGAGGCATCACTCGTACTCTCGTCCTACTTCTCCAAAGATCGCTATCCCGTCGAAGCCTTGATTTTGCCGAAAATCACTAGCGACTTGCCGTCGCATACTCTGGACATTCCTGAATGGCCGCATATTCAGGGTTTGGTCCTAGCTGACCCGCAATTTATGAAACCCGGTCGCATCGATATCTTGGTTGGTATGGATGTTAGGAGTCGTCTCATCTGTCCTGAACTTCGTAAAGGTCCACTCGGCGCACCTATGGCGCAAAAGACGGTCTTTGGTTGGACCTTGTGCGGAAGTATCAAAGCTTCACCTTCGCCACCGATCAACATACAGTCGCTGCACTGTGATGTGCAACTCGATCGCGCGCTAACGAGGTTATGGGAGCTTGAGGAATCTCCGAAAAAACCTCATCTCACACCCGAAGAGAGCTTCTGCGAAGATCATTTCGCTTCTACGCACCAAAGATCACCTGATGGCCGCTTTCTAGTGGAGTTACCGCTGAAAGCAGACGTGCCATTGGGTGAATCTCGCGACCTTGCCGTGCGAAGTCTATTACGCATCGAACGGAGGATGACTCGGGACAATGCGTTGCAAGCGCTATACAACGAGTTCATGCAAGAACTAATAGATATGGGACATATGGAACCTGTACCCGAAGAGACGACTAATGCAGTGTATTATATGCCGCATCACCCAGTGCTGAAGGAGTCGAGCGTTACGACGAAGCTAAGGGTCGTTTTCAACGCTTCTGCCAAAACCACCTCCGGGAATTCGCTCAACGATGCCCTTTGTGTTGGGCCGCAATTGCAGCACGACCTGTACGCTATATTGTTGCGTTTCCGTATGCACCGCTTCGCAGTCACCGCCGATGTTGCGAAGATGTACCGTCAAGTATGTGTGTCACCGAAGCACATCGACTTACAACGCATCGTTTGGCGTGCACATCCATCTGCGCCAATTCAAGATTACCGCATGCTACGAGTAACTTATGGTGTGGCGGCTGCTTCTCATCTGGCCGTAAAGGCGCTGCAACAAACTGCCAAGACTTCTACGAACGATTCCGAAAAAGCTATTTCAGTTATCCTTAGAGATTTTTACATGGACGATCTTCTTACTGGTACATCTTGCAAAACCGAACTTCAGTCCCTGCAACAACATGTCTCACAGATTTTAATGGAAGGAGGCTTTGAGTTACGAAAGGGGGCATCGAACTGTAAGGAGCTCAACGAGAGTATTTCCGAATCTTCGAGGGGTATTTCGCACTACGTAGTCGATGGTAAAGACGTTCACGCGCTGGGTCTGATGTGGGACACCGAGGGAGATCATTTCACATTTGCCGTCAATTTGAAGAAAGAACCCGCAACCCTAACCAAGAGATCCCTCCTAGCCGACGCTAGTACGCTCTTTGACCCGCTGGGTTTACTCGCTCCGGTCACAATAAAGGGTAAAATGTGGTTTCAGGACGTTTGGCGTTCTGCAGTTGGGTGGGACGACCCAGTACCACCCACAATCGAAAAGGCTTGGCGAGATCATCGAGTAGAGCTACAGAACTTGAAGGAGTTGAAGGTCGACCGCTGGATTGGATCCGGAATGGCCGGCTCATTCACGGAGCTGCACGTGTTTGCTGACGCTTCCGAACGAGCTTACGCCGCTGTGGTATACGCCCGCACTTTGCAACCCGACGGTACTGTTGCTGTAAGCCTCATTTCATCGAAAACTAAGGTTGCACCGCTTAAACCCACGACTCTACCCCGCCTTGAACTTTGCGCTGCACATTTAGCCTCGAAGTTGGTCCGAAACGTGCTGCACAGTTGGGGTAATCTTCGCTACCCGCTATATGCTTGGACGGATTCAACCATCACCTTAGCCTGGCTACAAGCACATCCTAGCAAATGGATAACCTTTGTAGCTAACCGCGTTGCCGAAACCCAAGACGTTTTGCCGCCGAATAGTTGGCATCATGTAAGGTCTGAATTGAACCCAGCTGACTGCGCGTCCAGGGGTATATCGCCGTCTGATCTCCTTTGTCACAAACTTTGGTGGAACGGTCCTGAATTTTTGAAAGGTACAGACCAGTTTTGGAAGAAAGAGTCGACAAATCAACACGCAACCGACATTGGCGTTCGAAACAAAGTTGCAGCAAACGTTTCAAATTCAAACGATTACTGGCCCGTCATTACAAAATATTCGTCGTATTCAAAGCTACGTCGCGTCATTTCATTCTGCTTACGATTCGTTTGTAACATTCGAGCAACTAAGCGTCTCGTCGAAAAACGCCATGGTCCTCTAAGCGGGTTGGAGCTGGTCGAAGCGGAGCGCCGCTTAGTTAAATATACGCAAAACTTTCACTTTGCCAATGAGATCTCTCACTGCAGCGCAAATAGGCCGATCCCGCTACGTAGTAGCTTGGTGCGTTTGCAACCATTTCTGGATCCCAACGGTATTCTCCGTGTAGGTGGACGACTGAAATCCGCAAATATTTCAAACGACGCGAGGCATCCAATAGTTTTGCCCAAGAATTCTCCGCTTTCACGCCTCATCATCTCCGATATACATTACTTTACTTTACACGCTGGGCCACGTATAATGCAGGTCGTATTGCAGCGTCGTTATTGGGTGATTGGAGCTCGTAGTTTGATCCGCAGCATTTATCACAAATGCGTCAAGTGCACTTGCATCAATCGTAACGCTGCCTCGCAGTCAATGGGTGACCTTCCCGCGTCCCGTACGACATATGCTCGTTGCTTCACACGCACTGCCGTGGACTTTGCTGGACCCTATTCATACAAATATACTTACGGAAGAGGAGCTAAATCTACGAAAGGATATATATGTTCATTTATTTGTATGTGCACTGGTGCGATGCATCTTGAATTTGTAGGGGATCTATCGACACCAGCTTTTCTCAACGCGTTCAAGCGTTTCATAAATCGAAGAGGGTATTGCAAGACCATGGTATCTGACAATGGCACGAATTTCGTTGGAGCTGAAAAGGAACTGCGCAACAAGTACGAGCAGTGCATGGCTGATGATGCGCTTCAGTCCTTTTTTGCTGACTCCAATATTGAGTGGCATTTCAACCCGCCGACCGCACCACACATGGGTGGATACTGGGAAACCGGTATCAAACGTATCAAATACCATTTGAAGCGTGTTTTAGGAGATACCTTCCTTTCGTACGAAGACTTCAGTACGCTATTAACTGAAGTGGAAGCTTGCGTTAACTCTCGCCCACTATGTGAAATTTCAACAAATGCTTCCGACCTCGAAGCCTTAACACCTGGACATTTTATTATCGGCGAACCTCTGAAGTCCATCCCAGAACCTGAGGGTCAAGGGTTCTGTGGAAATCTCCATCAGAGGTGGCAATTAATTTCAGAAATGCGACGACATTTTTGGCGTCGTTGGAAAGACGAGTATCTCTTGAGTCTGCAACGTCGCACTAAATGGTTTCGTCCTTCACGTAATTTCGAAGAAGGAGATATAGTAGCTATTTTCAACGATCTCACCCCTCCGACTAAGTGGACACTCGCAAGGGTAATTCGGTGTCACTCAGGAGTTGATGGCCGAGTACGTGTTGTTACAGTGAAGACTGCAACCGGGGAATACAAGAGACCAATAACTAAATTGTGCCTTCTACCGACTAAGGAAGATTTATTTTGCTGATGAAGACCTTTAGACTAAGAATGAAATTCATAACTTTAAGTATTTTTTTTAAAGAAACAAAGTAATTGTAAATTGAACGTATCATTTATATAACTTAGATAGTTCAAGGGCGGCGGTATGTTGAGTTCAAATTTGCATGTTCTTAAATGAAGTTTGTTGGA